GTCCAGCCTCCCTCGCGGCCTCGTTCTGCACCCTGGGAGCCTCGTGCGCCCCGCTGAGCCGGGACACCCAGGGACCCTGCCCGTGTCCCGCGGACCTGAGTCCCTGGCTGTCCCTTCCCGGGTCCGCAGCCCAGGCGTGCAGGGTGCTCTCCCGCTCGGCTCTGCCCCGCACGCTGCTTGTTGCCTGTGTCTTCCTGGTGCCCTCGCCCACGGTGAGAATCTGAGTTTCTCCACAAGGGTGTGTCGCAGACCGGAGAAAATCGAGTTTGATCCGGTTTATCTCTCTGTGCTGACCAGAAGCAAGGGCAGGGAGAGACAGCGGAAAGTCTGGCTTAGTGCTAGCAGCTTTCACAAGTAAGCACCTGTTATTTTTCCTTTGTTTTTTGGCTTTGTTGTTGCTGGCGTTGTGTTCTTGGTTTGGTTTTCTGAGACAGGGTCTCACTACTCATGTTTCTGAGTAGCCCAGGCTGATCTTGGACTCACTATGGGGCCAGGCCGGCCTCAAACTCACAGCGATCCTCCTGCCTCAGCCTCCTGAATGCTGGGGAGAAGGTGTGCGCCATGGTGCCTGCTGCTCTTTTTCTTATCTCAGTCATCACAGCAGAAGCTGAGTCCAGGCTGTGTCCCCAGCACTGTGCCGAGCGCTCACCGAGTCCTTGGATTAACCCTGTGACGCAGGTGCTGATTTTACCCGCATTTTCAGGGGACAACACTCAGACTGGGGTGTTGGGGTGATTTTTCATAGGCCACAGAGCTAGAATTTGTATCTTTATTTTTAATTTATTTTTATTAGTCCGTGTTGCAGCGCGTAACGCTCACGCTCCTCGCGGACAGGACACGGCCCCATGTGTGTCCCCTCCCCTCCCCCCTCCTGCCCCCTCCGATTCCTGGTCCTCTTTGTGTGTGCTGAGGCTCTGTTTCTGTTTCTTTGGCTCTCTTTTCTCAGCCCTTTTCCCCTCCCTCCCTCCCTCCTTCCCTCCATCTCTTGATCCACTTCCAGTTTGGAAAAGAGCTCCTTACTGCCTATCATCTGCCTTTTATTTCAGGGCTCGGTTTGTTTCTTTGGCTCTCTTTTCTCAGCCCTTTTCCCCTCCCGCCCTCCCTCCTTCCCTCCATCTCTTGATCCACTTCCAGTTTGGAAAAGAGCTCCTTACTGCCTATCATCTGCCTTTTATTTCTCTACTTATTTGGAAACTTTGGGTTTCTCACGTAAGAGAAAGCGTGTGGTGCTTAAGCTCGTGCATCCGGTTTATCTCACTCAGCACTATGGTCTCAGAGCATTCGCTTTCCTACAGACCACTCGAGTTTACCCTGCTTTACGGCAGAGTAGTGCTCCGTCGCGTGTAAACACCACCCCGTCGGTATCCATCCACCGGGCGATGGACGCAGAGGCCGCTTCCGAGACTTAGCAGTTGTGAGCTGCGCTTGTGTGCGGGTGTGCACGGATCCCTGTGCTGTGGCGTCTGAATATTTCAGGAAGATGCCTAGAAGGAAAGTGAAATTTCTGGGTTTGGTTTTTGAGGAGTCTCCGCACTGATTTCCACAGTGCTTGGTATTAGTTTATCTTTCCATCAACACAGCGCGGCAGGCTGGGGATTTATTAGCTCAGTGGCGCCGCCGCCGCCTGCCTTGCAAGCACAAGGTCCTGAGTTCCATCCCCGGTACCAAGAATCACACGAACACAATGCAGCGGGGCTCCTTTTTCCCTGCAGCCACACCAGCATTTGCTGTTCCTGGGTTTCGAGGTGATGGGGTGAGGCGGAATCGGTGTTGTTTTCAAGTGCATTTCTGTAATGGCCAGGGACAGGTCTCCACCTACCCACCGGCCTGCTGGCCTGGCTTCTGAACTGTCCGTTCACTTCAGTTCCCCATGTTCTGATGGAATCTTCCATCTGGGGGTCTAATTTTTTTAGTTCTTTATATGTTCCGGCTGTCAGTCCTTCGTCCAAGGAGCAGCTGCCACCGTTTTCCCATTCTGCGCATCGTCTCTTCACTCGGTTGTTTCCTGTGCTGTGCACAGCTTTCCGGGTTGTAATGATCACATCTGTTGGTTCCCGGTATTTTTTCTTGTGCCATTGGGGTTCTGTTGGGAATGTCGTGGCCTATACCTCTGTCCTCAGGAGTTTTACCTTGGTTGTCTTCCAGCAGTTTGTTTCTTTTAATGCCCAGATCTGTGATCCATTTCAGTTTTCCGTCAGTGTGGGGTAAGCGTTTTAGTCTTCGTCGTGCAGAAAGCTGGTTTTCCCAGCACCACTTATTAACGCGCCCTCCTCCCTCCAGAGAGGATGTTTGTCAAAGGCAGCTGGGCAGGCCTGGGCTGCTTCTGCGTCCCCGTCCAGGGCCACCGGTCCTCGGTGTCCGTGTGCCCGCCCTGCTGTTTGGCCTTGAGACTTGTAGTCTGACTTCAGATCCGGGGCTGTAAGGCCACTGCGTGGCCTTTGTCACCCAGCACTGCTTTTGCTCTTCCGGTCTCTTCTGGCTGCCCGTGGACCACAGGCTGCTCCTCCGGGTCCGAGGAAGGCTGCAGGGACTATCTGGGGTCACAGGGGATCCCCGTGGGCTCTGGCTGCATGGCGCTTTGGACTGCGTGGCTTCTGCCCGTCCGGGAGCGGCAGTGTCTGCGTCTCACAGAGCTGGGCGTTGGGGCCGAGGCGGGGGACCGGGCACACTTGACTTCGTCATGTGCGTGCCCGTGCGTGGTGCCGAGGGTGGGCGTGGGTGGCTTGGTGGCATCACTGTGTGCTGGGAATGATCAAAGTGATAGACGGAGGGGTGGTTGGTTCTGGTCGCTGAGGTCAAGAGTGGGATTTTAACAGAATGGGCGGTACTTAGGCACGGCGGAGTACTACTCTGCCGTAAAGAGGGATAGGCTTGGGTCATCTGAGGGAAAGCAGACGCACCCTGAGACCAAATGCTAAGCCGCGTGAGTCAGACGCACAGGCTTCCGTGTCGCATAGCTTCTCTTATATGAGAAACCCACAGTATAAATAAATTAAGGGCAAAATCGAAGATGGACAGGAGGCAGGGAGGCGCATCTTCGGCCAGTGGGAAGGGGACAGCGAGATGGAGGGAGGGAGGGAGGGGTGGATCAGAGTGCAGCCCCCGCCCTGCTGCCTTCCCGGGTGTTGCCCGCCTCCCCTCGGTGCGGACGGCCTCCAGCTGGTGTCTGAGGCGGACCCTGCCTGCTTTACACGGGAGACCGGGGTTTAACCGTGTGCCTGCGGGCTTGCGAGGTGCTGACCCCTGGGTTGGAGAAGGGAGGCAGAGAGGTGGAGAGGCAGGGAGAGGCCCGGAGGGGTGGGCAGAGACTCCAGCTGAGCTCTGACATCTCCTCCCCGAGGGTGGCTCCTATCACCTAAGACAATTGGAAAAGGCCTGGAAAACTCTGAAAACAAGGTGGCTGTACCACGCTTGCACTTTTGAATGTCACCTTGTTATGTGTGTACATGGAACGTGTTGTGATACTGGGGCCGAACGCACGCGGGGCCTTCAGGCCAAGCTGTATCCTCAGCCCCTTTTTAAATCTTTTTAATTTTGAGATAGAGTCTTGCTAAGTAGCCCAAGTGGGCCAGCATTAGGGACCCTCCTGCGTCAGCCTCCAGGAGTAGTGGGACTGTGGGGTGTGCACCTCGCCTGGCTGTACTTTAATACTTTCAGTGAGTCCTTGTACTTCATGAAAAGACAGAGGCTGATGTCACAAGGTGAAGCAGAACTTCCCGGAGTTTCATGAGCCCCGAGATCCAAAGATGAACCCTTCCACTTCAGCACTGTCCTCAGAGACTCCCCAAGTGGGCCATGAGGGAGGGGACTTTCCAGTACGCGAGGAAGAGGGGCTTGCTTTTCTCAGCTATTCACCATCTTTTTTTTGAGACTGGGGTTTCACTACTTCACTCGAACCCCTATGTTTGGGAGATCCTTCTGCCTCAGCCTCCAAGTACAGGCACTCCACCACTCCCAGCTTGATCGCCGTTTTCAAAGCAAGGCAAAGGGAGTTGGCCACGAGGTCACTTGCTGTGCAGTGACACAGGCAGAAGTGAAGACCGCTTGGCCCGGGTGTCCCAGCCCAAGGTGCTCGCTCTCCCTGCAGGCGTGGGTGGGCACAGGGAGGCCGGGCGCTGACTGAGCCCCACAGGAGAGCAGGAGGTGGTGGAGCCGGAAGTTCCTGCTTCTTCAGGTCCACCCCATCTCAGCCATTTTCCTGTTCCTTCCTTCTTACTGTAACATTGTGGGGAGGTGCATTTCCTTCCCAAGGCAGCAGCTGGGCCTGGTGGTGCACTCGGAAGGCTGAGGCAGGAGGGTCGCCAGGGCCACCTGGGCCTCCTAGAGAGTTCAAGGCCAGCCTGGACTGCATAGCAAGACCTTGTCTTAACACGAAACTAAACCAAACATCTGAGAAGTGTCTGTCCATTTTAGTTGCCCATTTTTTTATAGGGTCCTTTATTTGGGAGTCTAATTTTTCTGAGTTCTTTATACGTTCCAGATACTAGTCCTCTATCTGAGGCATAGCTGGGAAATAATCTCCCATTCTGTAGGTTTTCTTCTCGCTCTCTTGGCTGTTTCTTTTGCTGTACAGAAGCTTTTCTATTCACTGTGATCCGTGTGCTGATTCTCAGAACTATTTCCTGTGCAGCTAGAACCTGTGCACAGAGTCCCTGCCTGGGCCTGTGACTGTGACTTTAAGAGTTTTACCAGTTTTATCTCTCAGCAGATTAAATGTTTCTGCTTTAACATTTAGGTCTTTTATCCATTTTTATTTTAGCTCAGTGCACAGTGAGAGACGCAGGTCAGGTTCAGTCTTCTGCCCGTGGACTGCCAGCATTCCCGGCACCCTTATTAAAACGGCTGTCTTTCCTTCCACCAGTGTGGGGTTTTGGACCCTTTGAACAAAGTCATGAGGATTTAGAAAAGAAATCCATGGCGACCGAGGGGAATGGGCGATGTCTCGTGGGGCCCTCGGGCTGCACAGTGACCCTGCCATGTCTGTCAGGGACAGCTCTGCCTCGGTGGTCTGGAAGGGTGTTTGGGACAGGGAAATCGTGCTCTCGCTGTTGGGAGCCCTCAGCAGAACTGAGATGCACTGGCCTTGTTCTTTTTCTCGATTCCACACAGTTCTCTGAATGTAATGTGATGGTACCATGGCTGGCACACACCTGTAATCCCGGCACTGAGGAAGCTGAGGCAGGAGGGTCACTGCAAGTCCAAAGCCATCCTGGGCTACGTAGTGGTCCGAGGCCAACCTGAACTACACAGGGAGACCAGTCTCGACCCCTTGCTCCCCCCAAAACTACAGTGCTATCAAAGGGCCATGGAAGTGGGAAGTGTTTCTGCCAGTGAGAAGGCTGTGGGTTGCTGCTTCTCCCTGCAGGAGGGGAAGAGGCTGCCCCGCCCCTCCCGGCCCAGGCTGTCACTGTCTGGAAACCGGCTGGGCTCCAGCAATGAGTAATGAATGACACAGTGCACGCTTTCACTCTGTGATTCAAGGTGGAACCGTCACTGTAATAGCCACGGAGCAGGTGGCAGGAGGGGTATTTACAGTCCACAGCGGGTTTCATTTTATTGGAAGGGACCTCATTTACTTGAAGGTCTTGGGCTTCTGGGCTTCTGATAAACCCAGCACTGTTTCCACCTGGCCTTCAGGGAAAGTGAGCGCGTGTGTGCCGGAAACTCACAGTGACCCTGCTTCGCCTGGTTCACGCGGAGGATACTCGGCCCTGGGTGCGACACGTGGGTGCTGTGTCTCCTCCTGAATAGCTGCAGGACACAGAGAGACGTGACTGACTGCGGACTCGGGCGCATGTATCCACTTCTAGCCTGTGAGCCTGACCCAGGAACCATTGTTGCCCTCCGGGGACCGTGACAGCCCTGGCGGCCAATCCCTGAAAACCCCTGCCCTTGCCCTTCGAGTGTAGAACACAGAGCGCAGCCCACTCTGGGCCAGAGCAGCCCGTCTGGATGTGGTAACCACCGTCTCCCTCCATCCTCCCCAGGTCCCCACTGGGCTGGAGAAGTCCTGTATTTAATAAGTCGTGTGAGACGCAAGGCCTCCTACAGCGGTCAGCACTCGGGGTACTGGGTTCTACGGGAAGTCCTGAGTGTGACACAGTGGTGTGGGGGCTTAGAAGACTCGAGGTGTGCGACTGCTCCCGCATTTAAAGATGTGACTTTCTGCCACCCATGGGCGTGCACCGCCCATGATCCTAGCACTCTGAGAGGCTGAGACAGGAGGACCTCGAGTTCAAGTCCAGCCTGGGCAGCTTAGCAATTGAACAGCTTAGCGGGACCCTGCCTCAGAGTAAGAAGGGTGGTGGTTCAATCCCAGGCCCCGGACAAAGAAGCCGTGGCCGCTCTTTCTAGCTCAGGGAGTATCTTAGGGGAAAGACACTTTGTTTCTTTTTTTAAGAAATAGCATGAAGATCAAAGAGATCTGGCACCTGCTGTTTTAAGGATCCAGTATTCCGGGACAGCTTACTTTAACTTCTTCCCCACAATAACAAAAGCGTCTTACTGAAGCAAACTACAGAGTGGCAAAATATAATTTAATGAAGTTTTAATGTAGCTCCGGGAAGCTAAACTACAGGTGACGCAGGTGAGCACAGAGCCCCGGCTTCCCTCAGGCCGGCGTCACAGCCCCGTCCCTGAGGACCCGAGGATGACAGGAGACCATTCTTGTGGGCGGCAGGGCCGGAGTCTCCACCTGGGGCTCTGCAGTCCCCCCGCTTTGTTGAGACAGTCTGACTGTGTAGTTCAGACGGACCTCAGACTCACGGTGACCCTCCTGCCTCAGCCTCCCAAGTGTTAGGATTACAGACTTGCGTCACCACGTCCTCCTTTCCCTCCCTCCCTCCCTCCCACCAGCTTCTCCTGCTCGCGCTCCTCTCCCACGTCCTGCCTGTCACTCTGCTGTCACCTGTCACTGGCTTCTGCCATTCCGTGAGAGCCGGTGCCCCACCATCCTGGTCCGATCCGCTTCTCAGAGTTGCTGGGTGAAGGACAGCGGCTCGGGGGG